CTTACTCCACATAATACTTTAGATCTATTTTCAGAGCATATGCACTCTCCTCATGGCCATTTTTAGATCCCCTTAGGTGAGATCCTTCAAATCAAACTCTAACATATCCAAAAAATTGAACCAAATTTTGAAAAAAAATAAGGTTTAATAATTCAGGGTCAAACCTGCAATTGCCTTCTTCACCTATCAAACGAACTCTAAATCAATTTCTGAGGTCACCAATGGATTCCTATGGTTAATTTTAGTTTAACCCAATACCCCTTACATTTAAAAAACTCAAGATTCAAACATTTAATTTTCAAGAAACTCAAACCATAACCATGAACTTCATCTTCTTTGAACCACCACAGCCACCCTTTAAACCACCACTAAACTTCATATTAAACACCTAGAAATCATTCTCAAACCTCAATTCAAGCTAAAACCAAACCAAAACTCAGTTTCGATTCTATATCAACTAAAACCCAAAAATTTGAAAATGAAAATTTCATGTCCAAATAGTGATCAAAACTCATTGTAATCATCATAAATGGACTCCTAGCACCTTAATTAAATTAGAATTTTACCCTCTTGTTGCTTGAATTCAGTCATACGAAAACTTGGTTCTGCAAGCTTCCTCTTTCCTTCTCTAACTTCTCTCCTCTATTTTTCTCACTTTCTCACTTTTTGTCGGGTCTAGCCTATCCAACCAGTCAGCAGAGATGTTTATCACCTCTTCTAGTAGCTAGGTGGATGACATGCGATGGAGAGGCTCCAAACCAACCAGCAAGATGCTTGGAGATGAATGTCATGTAATGGTATTTTGGTAAATATTATTAAATCCAAAAAAATTTTTAATTTTTAATTTTTTTTATAATTTCATACATATTAAAACATTCCCTAGAAAATATTTTTTTCTAATTTTTTTTTATTTACATACTATGCATACATGCTCGGGTTTCATAGTTACACATAATATTTACTCGATGGGCAGAGGTCCGCCACATCATGTAATTCCTAATTTATTCACGAGCTCAATTGAGCCATTGGTCTAATCACTACCATCTCACTGTAGAACTTAAGATCGAAAGTTGAAACTTTATCGTCCCCTCCTTCGTAATATTATTTCGCTAAAAAAATTGCATTGATCGTCTATATATGAGAAGTTCATCTACATAATAAGTTAGCTAATAAGTTAAATTTTTATCCCTAATATATTTTTCCTCCCAAAAATATCACATTATTCAATTTTATCATTTGTTCAATCATTTAATATTTGAGTAATTTATAATTTAACATAATTTTTATTTCATACAATATTCATACATGATAGTGTACATGTGTTGAAAAAAATTTGTCGGGTTATGCATTTTTGAGAAAATTTTGATGCTATTTTTTAAAAAATAATATGTAAAAATTACTTTTAAATGATGTAATCAAAGAAATGAAAAAAATAAAAAATTACTATTTAGTATAGCGTGATCAATTTTTTAAAGGGTCGAATCTTGTATTCTATTTGTTGTAAAATAATGTGTGGTAAAATAATTTCAAGTAGTAGAAAAGCAAAGAGAAAATCGAAGAAGATAGGTCGTTAGGTAAGGCGCGACACTTGCTATCTTCTAGATAGTAATTTTCCCACTTATAATGCAGATGAACTATTAAAAATTCTATCCCCAGAATACAATGCCTAACTTTAAAATTATCAAAGACTGCACTCCTTTGTAATCTTGGAATCAAAACTCAACTCGAATAGAAAATCAGGAAATATAGAAGCTTTGAATCAAGAAGAAGAAGAAAGATTAAATTCTTAGCACTTTGTTCTAGCATTTGAACCCTATTTATAGTGTTCTATGCAACTCTTAATGAAAGAGTATAACCCTTCAAAACCATGGCAGAAAACACTCCTTGAAAGGGCTGCAATAATATAGCCGTTAGAGACTAATTTAAATAGAATATCTATCACGTTTGAACGTCCTCAACTCTCAGTATCTCAATTCTGAGATTTTTGTCAAAGTACTGGGAGCAAGTCACGTTTGAATGTGGGTTGTGTTCGAACGAACTGAAGTCTCAATATCTCAATTTCTGTCAGAAACTAAGATTCTAAAAAAGTATTGGGAGCGGAGCACGTTCAAACGTAGGTTGCATTTGAACGTTGTCTTTCTCCTTTTATTTCTTCTTCTTCTTCTATATATATATATACAAAATTATAACTTGAAGTTCTCATTATGTAAGCCTCCTCTTTAAGGATTCTTTGAGATCTTGAGTGGAGATTGAAGTTCTTCCTCTATTTATAGATGAAAATAAATTCATAAAGAACCTCCAAGAACTAATGTGGGATTCATGTTTTTGCCCTTCAACTCATATACTCCAAATGTTTTTGAGGGAAGTGAAAATTTTCACTTTCCCACCAATCTCAATCTAGAAAATACTATTGTACTTTATGTATACTATATATATACTCTTATATATACATGTATTTAATGTTTATGTCACTTCATGCAAATGATGTTTTATTAATCAATGTATCACTATATATATATAACAATCCCCCACTTATTTACTAAATATGATAGTAATAACAGAAAAATTCGGGTACAGTATAATGCATGCCCTAGGTGGACGATCCCTTGAACCTAGAGTTGAACATATATCTATAAATTTTAAAAGAACGAGATAACTATGTCTTGATCTTGTAACATTCAAAGTCTAAGAAATATATTCACACTATACATAGAGTTAGTGATCCTCGTAAGGCAACGCGTTATTAGGCCATGCGTTGATCCCATTTAGCGAGTACACTAGAGTTAGTTTTATTGAAAAACCCGTAGGAAGCGACCCTTACCTCCATACTCACAAAGGCAGACTCATCAAGGGTGTTCTATAACCACCCTATCACCCCAAACAAGCTATGAGTTCTATTAAGGACAAAGTNATCTTCTGC